GATCGGCGAACGCGCTCCGATATCGTCCGTTTTTCAATTTTTCGGGGAAAACGTGCTTGATCGCGTGAAATGAAAAAACATTTCTCTCTGGAACCTCTGCGAGAGATTCGTGCAAGATACCAGATTCTAACATATCCGTCGTAACTTCGTTGTGTTGCAGAGTTCACCGGTAATAATGGCTTAGAGGTGCCGAGCAAGCCGACCGAAGCGAGACCTCCGTACAGCATCGACGAGACAAACGTCAAAACTAAACAACAGGTAAGCACAAGTTTCTACGTTTCTAAAGTTACGAAACCTATCAGTGGATCTTCAATTTTACTCTTCCTCGTATCTCCCGAACACTCCCTGTTCATATTTCATTTAAAACATCTCACGGAATACTACCTTTGTCCTCGATTCGACGAATGCGCTCTGTGCACGGAAAGAACAATTCTGTTGAAATACCTAAAAATTTCGTAGTCGATACTAATCTAAAAAATAATTTTATCAGGCCATCAAAATAATAATGTAGAACGTCCAAATTAATTACTAGGATATAAAAAAATTTTATCGTCGTCTGAAGCATCCTACATAATGATGATTTGATGATCCAAGAAAATTATTTTATCAGATCTGTATTTGGTCTGCGCATAAATTTTTTAATACTTTTTAATACTTCAGCAAACTATTTCAGCAAAACTATATAATAATAATAATAATAATAATAATAATAATAATAATGTGGAAATTACCGCAGGCGGATAATTGCCCGCTAATGCAAATGATTAGAATTTGTTTTCGCGGAAGGAGAGCGCGGCTTGTGCGAAGCTGTAATAAAGAAAGAAATTTTATTTCATTCCATAAATTGCAGTAGTACATCATACCTTCGCGACGTTTTACGATATCGCGCCTGATATTTCCTGCACAAGCGTGCAATCTAATTTGCGCGATTAGAGTGCTGACGCGACACTTCCCGCTCGGGAACGGATCACTACATTTTTGTTCGATGACACGCGGGGCGCATCTTCTCTCGCATGGGGTCGCGAATTAAACAGATTAAAGCGATCGAGCCGTATCCAATTTCCAGACGACCATTGACACGGTGAACCGACCCGGCAACGAGGTCGAGGTAATCGAGCCCTCAGGCACGGAAGACGATCACGCCGACAACACCGACGACATCCACGAAGTTTACATCATGAATCCGAAACCCGGGGATCGCACCAGTTCGTTCTTCGCGCAGCCAGGCGTGCTAGCCGGTGAGTATGGAAACGACAAAGCCTTTTGTCGAACTCGTCGAAGTACAATGCGAGGATTAAAACGGTCGGATCTGAGTCCGAGCGTAGTTACGACCTGCGCGCTCGACATTACAACTTTACACAGTAACGACTATTAACGCGCACGTACGCTGCTAGTCACACGCTAGCTCCTCTTAATCAAGAATAAGAGAAATAAAAATATTTCAAAATATTTTCAAAAATATTTGATACGACCAAAAAGAAATAATTTATATTTCATTTGTTCTTTTATTGTAGAATATCAATAAAATATATATTTTTCAGAGTTTATTTGTTTTGTTAAGAAATAATTCACGCTCAGATTTTGGACACAAGCAGTGTACGTAACGGTAACTATGCTCTCCGCGAGAAAGATCTCGTTAGAAAATAAATTGTAAGCTATCTCGATGCTTCCAGCTGTGATCGGCGGCGCGGTAGTGGGCCTCCTCTGCGCGATACTGGTGGTCATGTTCATCGTGTACCGGATGCGCAAGAAGGACGAGGGCTCGTACGCCCTGGACGAGCCGAGGAGATCGCCCGCGGCGCAGGCCTTCCCCAAGCCGGGCGCGCCTCACCACAATCGGGAGTTCTACGCTTGAGGCGACGGCGGCGTGATGGCGACTTCGCCGATTCCTCTCGCGATCTCACGATGCCGAGCCGAGTAAAGACCCACCGACGATCAACGCCCGCATTCGGAATCCCGCTGGTCGATGGTGAAACGATTACTACGGCGAACCGCATGGCACGCGCTCATAGACTCTCCCGAAAACGTAAAGTTCTACCCGAGGAACGTCGCTCAGAACGTCGGCCGATTCTCGATTACACGGATTCCCCCTCCCTCCACTCCCGCTTCAATCCCCTCTCCCCCTTGTGTATCTCTCTCTTGTTCTTAGCTTTTTAAATCGATGGTTATAACATATCCTCACTTGACTGGATTCCGGATTTCTTTCCGTTTCCCTCCTCGGAAGGCAACTTTTCACTTGCACTTCTTCCCCTTGACGATTTTTTTCGGACTCAAAATCGAGTCCGAGCCGCGACATACGACGTTCGCGCGCACGGCTTTTCCCGGTCGCCCGAGTTCATTTTGGCTCTGGAGGAAACTGTATTTTCTTACACGCTGTATTTCACCGCGTCCGAAGAAAGACGCGCGCGAGTAAGAGCCCGAGGCAAGACGAATTCGCGGCCGACGGACCGTTCACCGAACGCCGAAAACCTTTTTCAGCCTGACGCTCCGGTTCCTTCACGATACTCTGTACAGACTCTCTTTTCTTATCCTTAAATTCTTAACAGGCCACATTCGCTGATCTCCAAAAAGAATCTCTTCGAAGTGTAATCATCCCGGCTGGTGACTGAAGCGACGGACAATGAACGACGAGACCACACCTCTCGTATATATCCCGTCGAGACACCGTCGGCGAGATTGCACCAATTCCAAACTGCATTTACAAGCGTATTTAGAGAGCGTATATATATATATATATATTATATAAATATATATATATTTACGTGTATGTATACGTATATACATGTACAGGACTGAGAGCGTGAAAATTCGTGGGCGATAAACGCCGCTGCTATGTCGTTAATCATTCTGTCTCCCGGTGGAAGGAGGGAAGGGAAGAAGGATCGTTGCGGCGCCGTGATTTCTCTCCGACAGCAAGAGCGGCGAGGAGTTAAGCTGCAACCCCGTTTGCGCGTCGCTGCTATTACTTGTTCTCTCCTTTATTCTTTTTTAAATTTACGATATTCGCTTCTTTGATACGAGCGTTTAATACTGAGTTCGAAGATTTAGGTCTTTTATTGCGCGTTCGCGTCCCGATAGAGGTGAAAACGATGGCGGGACTCGCCGACCATATTGATCGATTGCAGAGAGGATAAAAAGGGCGCCTATATTAAGAATATGTGTTAAGCATTAATCGTAGCGCGACCGCATCGACCCACATTACGTGTTCCGAGGAAAATAAAAAAAAATATATATATATATATATATTTCATCTCGATGCATTTCTAGGAATTATACAAGTTGCGCAAGATCGCTTGAAATTTATTCGGTCGATCGGTCACCGTATATTGTACATATCTTTATAAAATAACAATTATTTCTGAAGCGTACATAAGATTTTATACGTATTTTATCTGTGCAGTGTTTTTTTTGTTTTTTTTATTTCGTTGTATCCCGAAACGTTGAAAATAAGTAATTCGACATATCTCGAATTATTTCAGTTATCTTTCGATTCTTTTTGATTGAGTTTTCTGTCTATCTTTTAGTGCTTCTTACATATTTACATCTTTTACACATGATAAGTATGTATTTCAGATTTTTAAATTAAGACTCGATGATAATTGAACATGTAAACTTGCTCGCAGTTTGGATCATTTTATTCAATGACCGTTTCATGTAAATCCCAGTTCAATATTTCGAGAATTGTATGTAATTACTGAAGCTCCCAATAATTGTGAATATTGTCTTTGCCAGGCGTTTAGCGAATTTCATTAGAATCCTTCTACTGTACGAATCGCCATGCATTTAGCAAATAAAATAAATCCTCAATTAGCGTGCCATATGTTTTTGTAACGCAAACTGGCAGTCATGCGTGCGTGTCGCTAGTAACACGATTGACGTTTCCATCTTCCAAGAATCGTATCCCTTGCAGAAATAAAAAGTGCAGCTTTTAAAACGTAGAGAAATCCCTTTGTAGACTGAATATTTTTCCGATGCTCGCTGAGGTATCGGGACGAACAGAAATAGCTTGAGGTCCAGTGAATCATGTTTGCATGGCAATGGGACGTCACACCCTCCTTCCACCCGTAAGATAAAATACCCACTTTTACTATTACCCGGGTCAGCTCCGATAAAAATCCTCGATACGTCCGTCTAGGGTTTATCTTGTCTTGGAAAATTCTTCTAACGGCAAGAAGTCACGTTGCCATTAGGCTAAATAATGGATACTGCATTTGACAGGCACAATTACCCACGGCACACACGAAAAATAAGAGGAAAGAAAGATATGTGGTTCCTCCCTTTCCCAAGAGCGAGCGTGATAGCGCGCACGCTTTAGACGACAGAAACGATGCCATAATGACGTATTAGAGAGCGAAGAGCGATAAAACTGCGTATTGTATCACCGTTCGTATCGGAATTTTTTCCCCACGGCGATATTCATCACGCGATCGATCCGCATCGCGGAGTCTACTTGTTTGTCTCCTCCACCTCCAATCCGCGATGTTTCCTTGGCCGTTTTGCCTTTCCGTCATTTCCGTTTATCTTCCGTAATCTTTTTACGGTCCCGCACCAATTCTCGAATCTCTCTTTCTCTCCCTCTCCCTCCCCCCCCCTCTTTCTCTCTCTCTCTCTGGTTTTCTGTTTCGTGACAGTACGTGAGTGTCGTCTTTTTGCAGAATCCGATCCGTCGCAGAAAATCGGACGCGTTGGGGTAATTAAAAGTATATCGTGCCGATACTGCCATATATACTATGTAAGAAACAGCGATTTGGTATGAAACTCTCACGAATCCGCCTTATAATCCACATTGTTCGTCATCTCACGGCACCCTCATCCCTGTCGTTCGCCGCAAGCTTAGATCCTTCCGTTTTCTCCTCAACTAATTCGTACTTTTTACATCCGGATGTGCTGATCACGATTGCTGCTGTAGAAAGTGTAAAGAGTCTACTGAACGCCTTATTTATTTTATTACCAAGACTAATGTAGTTGTTTGCTCATCCACGGCAAATTTGTTACGTCGATTTATCTTCATTGGCCATACGCCACGATGTCGTTTTGACAGAAGGAAGATTTCTCTTCCATGCAGACCATGACACAATTATACTTGCATCGATTAAAAATCACTAATTTGTATATAAGAAAAAGCTTTGAGATTTATTTGTTTTTTTTTTTCCGATTTGATTTTACTAAATAAACTTCACTTTATATCATGGAATTCTTTTTAGCGTATTCAAATTTGAAACGGTACATTTAGGAATCAACCAATAAGAATAATAATGATAAGAACATTACAGTAACGATAGTTAGAGCTAATGCCGGTTATGATCAAAGAAGTATCTCTATTCTCTCTTTCGTAACTTATTGAGCTGGTATTTCCTTCATTATATCAGTCTTAATTTGTTTCATCTTTTCTAATGTGGATGTGTAAGATTCCTTCATACTTCACACGATTCTTTAACCCCAGTGTTATCCAGGATTTGTAGCTTTCATTTTGGAATTGATACGTGTCGCTATTTTCGCTAATTGCCTTTCTTTCTCACTTTGTAGTTATTTTTTTACATTTAGCATGCAAGGATAAATTTCGAAACGAAACTAATCTGAGATCACCAGCAGTTTTTGAGTTTTTTTAATGTATTAATTTAAATTTAAAATTTATATTTATTGATATATAATTGATATATTGTTACTGTTATTTACAGTTAAATTATATTTTATAATATCTAATATTATATATATATATATATAAACATCAGCGAACATGATACTGATTCATGTCAAGTTTATGCTAATTCCTTCGCACGAAAGGTGTATCTTATACCATCGAGTTGATTAAAGAAACATTATCAAGTTTCAATATTGACTGGATCAATTAATTTCTTATCTCATCTTTCAATTTCGATAGTTCAGAATTCATAAGATGTATATATGTATCAAAAATTTGTAACGATTTTAAGCTAATCTCCCTGAGATCAAATCTTGTATGCGACGAGACACGAAATGAGAGAAAAAAGCAATGATGTAAATATCGATATGTTAATTTTAAATCGAAAACTGCAAATCATTCTATAAGCGTCTTCTAAGCACATGCTTTAAGATACTCTTATCTGTAATGCTCTTATATTTTTTTCTCTTTATATAAATCCTTATCTAATCTTTGTCTCGTGTGAAGTAAACGAGGGAAGATCTAGAAATGGGGGGGGGCGGCTCGTAATATCTATTGTAATAATAATCATACATGATATAGATGAAATTGTTCGTTAGGTAGTAATTAATTGACTTCGTGGTGTCGCCTGTCTTAGCTTTCGCTAGCTTACGTTTCACCACGCGGCCAATTAACATCCGAAAGAAATTAAGCGAAGAGAGGAAGAAAAATAATTGTAATGAAATCATATTTTATAAGAAGACATAATTCCGTAAGAACACTATAGCAATGAGAAGTCTGTCTAATACTAGACAAAGCCCATAGGCCAGGTGGACGAATGAAAATAATTTTAAAAGTGAATTAATATTTAATAATAACGATAATATTAACAATGTTATTTTTAAGTGTAAGTACTATCGGCCCATCCTTCTCCTCCTCCTCCTCCTCCTCTTCCTCTTCCTCTTCCTCTTCCTCTTCCTCTTCCTCGTCCCTTTCCTCTCTATTGTGCCCTAACTGATCTATATTACATATATGTGTATATATCTCCGTCTATGCACGAACCCACAAATACGTATATACATGTATATGTACTTATATATAAATATATAGATATTTACATTCGCTCGCGCAACTGCGATAAAACGTATTTGTCTCAGTTTCTCTCAAGAGGTGTTTTCTACATCTTTCTACATTTTCCTTCTGAAATTGAAAGTCGACTTCGTGCCATCTGTATAATCGCACCAATGATGAGCCGACATGAGCCGACGCAGCAGCTTCTTATCGCATGTAAAAGATGAAATATATCCGTATTATCGCCGTTGCGGACGTCAAAGTAATTATTACGATATTCTTAACGGAAATTAATAATTGCACTATATTAGTATAATAATAAACAATAATGTATGTCGTCGCTCCTATTCTGTAAATAAATACTATACCGTCTAAGGAAACGCGTTGGAAACTTCTTTGAGACACGACGAGTATCATTTCCATTTCATGTAGTTGTAGAGTTCAAGGATTTCATAGAATCATCGGAAAATTATAACGGAAGAAGATTATTTGCACTTTATTTGCATACCAAAATACAATATGTATTGCCTTCAAGCTACGTTAAAACGCCGCAGCAAAAATGGATTTTCCAAAGTAAATCTGTAAATACTGGGACATCTAACTGGTAAAAATTACATTTTTTTCTTTTTAATAAACAGAGTAATATCATTATTTGTGAAACAATACTTTGCGTGTATGCTCTCTCATACTTTTTGCATATACAATATTTATATATTTTATAAAATATTACTATCAAAAATATCAATCATCTTTTTTTTTAAGATTGGTTTACGAACGTGGAAAATACTTTACACGTAATATCAGATGCATAAAATCAATATTCATACAGATGCCGATAAATGTAATAGACAAATACGTTTCTATCAATTTTATAAACGCTTCTATTAAACTGCATTATATAAAAATGTTTTTCAAGAGATAAACATTTTAAACATGGAACATGGATATATACAAGAAAATTCTTAATTATACATCAATACTTTAAAGATGAATTAAAAATTGTATATAAAAATAAATCGTTCAAGTTTAATTTTTTGAATTGTAACAAATCAAAGAAAATGTTTAATATATGTGCGTGTATACATACAACTCAAAAAATAAAAGTCTGAACAATTTATCTTTGTCTGAACAATTTTTATGTTTTTCATTTGTCTTGTTTCAGATTCATTCATTAAAAGCATTGATATATAAAAAAACATCCTGTATATATCTCTATATATAAACATGTAATAGCAATATTATAATATATTGTGCGACAATGATTTACATTATTATATCATAAAAAGGTAAACGAAATGTTTTTGCCATACCTAAAGCTCTCGTTTCCTCACTATAGTTATTTAGAATTGATATGTGAATTTTTTTCTTGCAATATATATAAAAGTAAATCAGTTTTTTTGTATGCTGTTACTTATATTCGATAATATGAATTACATCCCGAAAGCACTCTCTTTTTTTAGAATATACATATAACATTAATAAATATGTAATTTAACGTAATTTTACATTCCCAGCAAAAATACATCTCGTAATAATTTATAGCTATTTTTACTTTACGAGCTGAGAAAAGAAAATTTTTCATATATTTTATATCATTTCATATCACTGAATGTGTATAGTAACAAAAGTATATGATAATAACTAATTTATTTTGATTTATATTGCAAGACAAATATTCTTAAGATTTTATCGTAATATATGACATTGTAAATCTAACTGCTTTTAGAATGGAGCCTTAAAATTATCATTACAAATACTATACTGTAGCATTTGCAATTATAATAACCGACTAAGCGACTAATGCGCTTCGTATTAGAAATTATAATATATGAATTAATTTCGCATTTTGGTTTGTTTTACAGATATTATCATGCGAATGAATTTTTATATTGGTTTTATCTATTACAATAGTTGGTTGACTATTTTGTGATAAACACAATAAGACTATAAATTGCTTTTAAGGAAAGGCTTGAGGTATTTATGGAAGGATTGATTAACATTTTCCTGATTTAAGGGGCTTTTCATCGCCTCGTCAAAGAGACGCTGATACACATTGCCATCGTATGCGCCAAGCGCGGATGCAAGAATCTCATCACGAATATCGAATCCGTCGACGATACCTACAGCATTTGAACGGATTGCAGCGAGCATCTCTTCGAAGCGCGCTTGGAGTGCCGGAATGTCTTCGTTCTTTAAACAGGAAAACTGTAATTACAAAATGCATTGTCATGTTAAGACAGCCCATTTATCGAACGTACGATATAGTAATTTTGTTTCTACGAATACTAACGCGCAAAAAATCTCCAAGTCGTTGCAAAACCCAATATATCGAATACAATTCACAAAGTTGCATTAAAACATCGCTAAGCTGCTTAGATACGGACGTCAATCCTTTAACATTCTCGATGAATCTCTCTACTAAGAAAGCTCGACAATGAGATTCGGCACAATGTGCTAATTCAATGCTGGTTTGGTTCCACGCGTCTTCTGATGACACGCCATTGCGTATTCTGCGATCCATGTTTTCCGTCGCCAAGCGAATTTTGCTGCAAGCGAATTATAAATGATAAATTGCTATGACGAGGTAATGATGTCTTTGTTAACTAATGATCTTCCATATGCAAATACGTTTCTTATCACACTCGTATTCTACTTACCCTGCAGCAACCGCTTGATGCGCTTGCACAATACACGATAAAGTATTTTTCCAAGGACGCTGTTTTACTCCGCGTAAAAGAACAGCTAGATATCCGACAGTCGGTGGCAGCGGTTGGCGGCTGACAGCCTGTCTCCAAGCTTTCACTAGATATCTAGCCGTTTGTAATAGCAGGACCGTATTTTCGCCTTCATAAGTGCAAATAGCAGTCACTAAACCATAAGTCGCCGGCAAATTGCTCGCATCCATATAACCATGCCCACCGCATGCCAATCGTAATTGCTCGATGCCAGTAGCACCATCTGACGATGCAACTGCCTTTAGACAACAAGCCAGCGCATGCAGCTGAAAAATAATTTTTCAATTTAATTTGACGATAAATACTTCAATTTCAAATCGATTTTTGTACTACGGAAACTGGAACAACAATTGTTTTATCAAAAGTTTCTATTTCAATTTCTGCAACTGCATATTTTAACGTACCTCAGGTAGTCTTTCCAGCTCTCCCTGATCTAATTCAGCTGTTACATTATTATACATCTCCCAAATCCAGTCGGCGCACATTCGAAATGCAAAACATGCAGCAAGATTAGGAAACAATTTATATTGTTGTGTAACATAATTTATAATTTGCGATTCCGGTTCACTGAAAAGAAAATATTTTTAAATTGTATTGAAATATACAATTCAATTCGATGAATGAAAATGTTTCAGTCATCGAATGAAAAACTTTCATTCATCGAATTGCATATTTCAATACAATTTTAAACAATTTACTAAAACGAAAAACACGCATATAATGAAATCTTTAGACTTTCAAAATAAAAGCAATAAATAAGCTGAGTAAACTAGATGAATAATTCAAAGTCTAGCAGAATTAAAATAGAAATAGAAAATAAAAACAAAATACTTTAAATATATATTAAAATCCAAGCTATTTGTCAGCTATTTGTTAAAATTCGGAATGTTGATGTGTCTAATTACATTCATACAAGATAATTAACCTTCAGACTTTGAAAAAGAAAAGATAAAATAAACTTGATAAGATATGATAAATATTAAATTCAATGTCTTCATTATATACTTTTGTCTGACTGTCAAACTATAAAACTATAAAAAATAATAATAAAAAGAAAAGTTTAATGCGATAAAAAATGTTATCTTGTGAGCAAAATATTATCTTGCCAATTTATATTTTCTGGTAATTTACGTTTTTATTGTTATTACATACTCGGGTTTTATCTGACTTTGTCGTCTTACTGCACTGTATCTAATAGCTATCGTTACCGCCTTTGACAGATAATTAGAGATATCACGTACTAATACCACTCGTACAAACATCATAGTACCATAAGTGAGTTTATCACTAGACGCTTTTACGTAAGTTCCGTCCTCTAATACCTGAAAAGTTGAATAATCAGATCGATCTTACTCCAGATTTCTCGTTAAACATGAGTCAAACGAGTTTCACTTTTTCCTTTAGCCCATTACCTGAGAGTTTTTCATCAGCATATGCTCGCGCGGTATTCTAACATTATCGAAACCGAGAAAGCCATTATTAGTTGCATTCATTCCCAACTTAGTACCGATTTCACCGATTTTTATACCTGAAAACGAAAATGAACGTTTTAACTCCTTTCGTTCATAAACGCAATGTTCGACGAAAAATACAAAATTTTCTTGACAATTCACGTACCTGATAGAGGTTCATGAGTGTTTTCATCCCTGAGTTGCACAATAAAAGGATGAACACCTCTACACTCTCCTTGCGTATATAATTGCGCAACGACAATTGCGTAATTCGCCGTGTGGCCCACTGAAAGTAATTCATTTTTTATAAATTGCAAATCGATCTTGAATAATATATTTTATATATTGAAATATTTTATAAATAAAAAAAGATACTTACAACCACCAGGCCACCATTTATACGATGTCAAAGTTGGACTATGTAATACAAATTCTTTGGTCTCAGGATCGTAGGTCGCTGTAGTTTCTAAGCCTCTGATAAATGTGCCATGTCCAAGTTCCGTCTAAAAAAACATAGGATTTATTATTTTAAAGATTAAAGCGATTTTTAGAATCGTGATTAATTTCTGATAAACCACGATTAATTTGATAATAAAATGCATACTTGGGCATAAGTACCAATAATACTGCAGCTCCAAGCCTTGGATATCCAATAGCCTTGCTGTTCGACAGTGCCCTGTCCCATAATAGTCGGAATGAACATCACATAATGCAGCGTCAATGGATTGCCGTCCTTCAATATCGCTGAGCCTAGCATACCTCCTAAAATTTGTCTTACAAAGCATTATAGATTAGCTATCTAGTTAATAAATAGTACTCTAAATAATAAATAAATCTTTGAAATTTCATCATTTAATAAATATTTTTTAGTAAATTTAAATAAAATTTGTTTAGCTAATTTTTCATTAGTTCTAATTTTACATATTTTTATTTTTTGTAATCTCTTATTATTTTATGCAAGATCTATGTTTTTTTATGATTTTATATTGAATATTAATTTTTATATAACACCATTTATTTCATGCTTGTCATTCATTTTTTTCTACCACTACTTTTTTATAATTAACATATTCATTTTATTATGTAATTATTTATCATTTATTTTAATTTAATTTGGCTGATGAAGACTTAATACAGCCGATTCTTTTTGTTTCTTTTGTAACAAACTATATATAATTTATAGAAAACTTTTATTTGCTCGTACTCGTAACTTTTCCAAATATCTTTTTTTTTGGCAGAACATTAAACTTTGAATTAAATAAAATATATACAGAGCAAATATTATATTTGTATGGATAATATATTGAAGTAAATATGATATTTTCTTTATGAAGCATTAAATTTCAGTTTGAATATCCTATTAAATACGCTTCTTCAACGACAAAAACTCTCTTTACTATATATCTAAACGTCTTACGAAAAAACTTCCATGCTGCCTTTCCCCGAGTCGTTTAACTGTTGCACCTTCTGCATTACTCGGCATCCTTTCATTATTGCATCTTCGTAAATCTCCTTATGACTCTTGTATTTCGCAGGAATTCTGTCGTGCAACAGCGGATTGCTGAGGAAGAAGTTTTCTGCAAATGATAAGCTCACATTACTATGTAGGAACACGTAAATAAGTCTAAGTATTAACATACATAAATGAATTTCTAATGTCTAATGAGTATGATAATATCTATGTAAATTCGATTGATATAAATCATTAATTTGGATAATAGACAGAAGATAGTTGGCAATTAAATTGTCAGATTAGATTTAGATAACTAAATTATTAAATAATTGAATTAAATTATTAGATTAATATTAGATAATTAGGATTTATTAAGCTATTATAAAGCTATTTTTTCAATTTTAGCAGTTTTCAGTAGCAGTTTCGGATTGAAACTTCTTGTTAAGTTGGGATGCTATAGTGGAGTATCACCACACCGATATCTCATCAAAAGTTGCACAACCAGTTTCCGATTCGACGAACTCGACGTCGCGTATTGTCGAGACTATACTTAGCTATTTTGAAATAAATCGCTAATTATAAAATTTTAAATATAAATTATGCAACACGTGTACCGTTTGATTTTTATCAATTATTCAAAGCATATATCTTCTATTTTGTTAATTGAGCAGATTAAGCGCTTTTTTTCGTAGATTAAATTTTTTTATTGTCATTTAGCAAAAGACCCATTTCTCAACACAGCGAAAGCTATCATTTAATAATTTATAATCTCAATCAGCAAGAGAGCACAGATGAGATAAATATTGCTAAACTTTCAGTCAACTTAAACCAGTTATTTACCGATAACTGAAATGAAATTATAAATTTCTTTATGCAAGTCATTTGAGTATTTCTCAACAATTCGCGTTAGTATTAGTAGCGGCATTGATGAGTTAAGTATTTAATCATAACGTCCATGTAGAAATATGACGCTAAAGATATTTAATCTCGCACATTGAACATTGAACCAAGTGGCTGCGTAGATATGTGTGGGAATCGCTATTCCTGCATATATTTTAATTTACGACGCTAATCAACGTAAAAATTCGCGATTAAAAGGTAAACCATCAAACAATAGGTTAACTTTTCACATCTGATACACCTTAATTTTCTGAATATAATTATTTTTTAATTTGTTTTGTTCTTTTTATCTCAAATAGCAATGCATTTGCCGCCCGACATGCATATGCATATATTTTAATTTTTATATGATAATTCAAATATTAAAATTAATATATTATTATTAATAAGTTATTAAAAAGATTTATTAACCGTAATTATTTGAATATTCACGTGTAATCAATTATAATGTGTCCTATGTCAATGGAAAAAAATCATGTTCTCATCAAAAGATGAGATAAGATTCTTATTTTTGGCATGTTTATATAAAACGCTCTTATTGATAATTTCTTTTTATTTAACAATTATTTAACTCTTAAAGATAACTTTTTATCAAAATTATGTATCCTTTCTCTTTCCCTATTGAAAACAGCGAAGTGATTTTATATATATATATGCAAAATTTTTATATGTTTATTATTTGAGTAATTTAAATTAGTTAATGTAAATAATAAATAGGTTTTTATTACCATTAGCATAATGAACGGATTTATACATTGATAACTTAATTAAGCTCAATATATGCAATAGAGTTTTACTTATGCTGAAGAAGACTAAATACAATCGAAACGTTCACATTCTTCTATTTTCAATATTTCTATGAATAAATTTTTAAAATTGTTGATCTTTTATTTGGCTCGTAATTTTTTACTTCTGTCTTAACTCTTTATGACTTATACATGTATACCTTGACATGAGTAGCGAAAAAAAGGATATAATATCAAAGATATGATATTAAAGTCCATCGAGTAAAGTATTACGGAAAAATAGAAAAAGATAAGAATATAAAAATAAAGCAAAAGTTGAATCTGTCTTTTTTGTTCTATATACTTCTCATATATCGCATAATCGAACTAGGATTTATATTTATACGTAAAACTAAAACTAAAAATAAAAGTCGTAGTAAAATTATGCAGAATAATTACCGGAAGAAAGGAGGAAAAACATGCTTCTTGTCAATCACGAAGCGCGATTAGATTTATCTTATATTTGTAAATATATTTGAATTGTAAATATATTTGAATTGTAAGACAGAATATGCAAGTATGTTGTAAAATATATATATTATATAATATATATATTATATAT